GGAAAACATAAAATCAACATACTTTATGGAGGAACTAGTATCTATTTCTTTAACAACCTCTTAATGGCTGCTAAATGCTTTGATATCCAGGTGAGAAGTATCTTTCCTTTTTATCTCACTTAATCAAAGGTTGTCAAAGATTCTGCTACTTTGATGATAACTCTTTCAGTTTATGAATGTTTGATGTCTATGATATCTGGTTGTGATGCTTTCATCGTTCTTCCTAGTGGATATGCAACTTTAATGACTACTTTTACCCTTGCTACTTGGGCAGAAATGAAATTTCATACCAAACCTATTGGTCTGTTAAATTTCAATAACTTTTTCCACCACTTGCTTGGATTTCTAGATGAATGAGTGTATCAAACTTTTATATCTCCTTTCTAAAGAGATATATTCAAGTCTGCTGACACTTCCTCTGAACTTATCAAGAAACTTCAAAACATCATCTCAACAGTTCAAGATTCTGTGGAAACTCCAGGATTCAAACGCAAGCGAGCATTTGATCCTTTAGATCTATCTTTGTGAAACTACAGCCATGATGGGTGGCAGAGTTATGGAGCCTTGTGCTCTAGAGACGCACCCTCCCTTTATGCAATATAACTTTGTACTAGTTGAGAATTCCATTATGCTTATCTGTATCTCCTTTTTCTGATATTTCTATACTAGCTTTTTAGATATAAGGAAATTCTCAACAGTGTGCTCGAATCTTTGTCTTGCTTTCGACTTTCAATGATATTAGAATTTCCATCTATCAAGTAGATTGATTGTGCAAAATATACTCTTCTCTTATATACTTGATTCACACATCAATACTACTTGTTTTTTGACTGAGATAACTTCTTGATTTAGTCAAGGTTCTATGCTTCTTAAACTTTACTCAGTTGTGGTTTTGAAACTTTTCCTCGCGCATTCTAAAACCACTAACTATATGACTTGAACAGTATAACCATTAATAAATAGCTATACTAAACTTTAACGAAATTGTTAATTTTCTGAAAACACCTAGCTTGTGCTAGAGTTCCGGTTAATCTATCTTTTTCTAGCTTCTTCTCGCCATTTCTTACTTATGGCTTTTAACTCATCATTTATCTTTGGGGACAAATACTTTCTCCAAAGAGATAAAAAAACATATTAGTCTTTACTTATTAAACAGACTATCTTTAACTTTCACATGTCCAGATTACTCTTGCTTAACTTCAAAAATTCTTCCGAGAAGTTTAATAATTATCTCGGTATCTGGAATGTAATACTTATTAACTGATATCTTTTAAGGTTCGATTTTCAAGTCTTCAGGTAAACTCGGACTAATAACCCTTATTTCAGGTTTCCATAATTTTCTCGGCGAAGTGACTATTATATGTCGATACCTTAAACTTATACTCATTGATTTCTGAAAAGTACTTTGTATAGTTGTACTGTTACTAACAAGTACTAATACAAAATAACTTATAACTTAATCTCGAACTTTGCCAATTTTTAGCTTATGATATCTAACTGATAAGATATCAAAACTTCTGTCTTATAAAGATTGACTATTTTCTGAAACTTTATTTCTACGGTTCAGTTTCAAGCCTACAGGATCTTATCCGGCTTTTGGTTCTTATTTCAAACTCCCATGATTTACCCGTGCTTTTTGGCTATTATATACTGAAATACCGTTACTTCTAATACTTGGCTCAAATACATAATCAACCTTTATAGTCAAATCTTAACTCAAATCTTAATCTGATGGCTTAACTTAGAATGGTCGAGTCTCTTTCTTGATCTAGTTAACTTGATAAACTAGATTTCAAACTTTAATACTTGAACATATAGACTGATTTCTAGAGTTCGGATATCTGAATTCTTGTTGAGAATAGACTTAGTAATTTGAATATATTTAAAAACTTTTATAAAAACTTTTAACAAAACTTACTTGGTAGTCGGCGAGGTGTGAGCGTGGTGTGGTCGGGTTTTCTTGAAATTCTCTGTAAAAACTTTGGCTTCTCTGAAAACTTTCTCTTTCAGAACTTAAACTTTTAGTATACAGAGCATTTAAAACTCTAGCTCTGATACCACCTGTAACACCCCGCTCATCAGAGTAAATTTTTCGCAACTTTTACTTCGAAAATACTTATAAATCTTTCGAAATATTTTGCGACTAACTCGGGATTCTACTCAAACTCATCTTCTTGAAAATCTATTTATCTTTTAACTTTTGTCTAATACTTCTTTAGACATAAAGAAAATAGATTTCCTTTAAACTTGCATTTAACTGTACCATATTCATACTTCTCGAAATGGTAAAAACTTGAAATCTAAAATGCAAGTTCAATACTTAATGTGCATAGCGGAAATACATAAAAACGTGGTTTATTATACAGACAGATCAAATACTTAATATATGTCCACTTGAAATAAGTGCACGACCACCACCACCACTGCTCAGCTCACACCTCCGTCCCGACCCTGTTATCTGAAAAACACAATGGGGGTGAGTACTGATCCTCTTGTACCCCGAAAAACACCCATACTAAAGTAAACACCAATAATAATACAATATCATGATCTTTGGTATATATCTGGACTGGAAATCTATTCCAGTAACTTAAACTGAATCTGGCCAATATCTGATCGGATACTTGTGCACAATCTGATGGATATTTCTCAAGGCAACTCAAGCGGCCTCTATCAGAACTTAGGATATACTTTGAGACAATTGAATGCCTCCTCATCCCAAGCGTATAAACTTAAACTGTATACATACCTCGAACATGATATCAATATTATATTCAATGTAATACCCAGTCTGGGTCCCCACCTTTCTTCTTTTGAAAACTTTTGAAAAATGTAAGTGTTGCTCTTGGGTAGCTATATCTGCAAGCTACATAAGAATAAAAACAAATATACTAAGTACTATGCTCGTATACTCAATAAGATTTAACTCTTACTTATCCGAATCTTAAAGATATTCAATAAGCTTAATATGTCTCAAATAAATATTAAGTCATCAAAATCTTAACTTTTTCCAACATCATCAACATGATTTATAAACTCATCTTAATCTTTTACTCAATCAAATACTTAATTCATCATACATCATATCTCCCAAATTTTAAATATTGGCTTATATTAAATTTTCACCTAATTAACTTGAAAGTGAAAATAAACTCAAGTCATACTTCAACTTTTAATCATAACATTTAATCATGATATTAATATGTCATACTTAATACAATCTTTATGAGATTATATACTCAACATATTAAACTAAAACTTTGCCAAATTGCTCATCACTTATATGAGAATTGATTATAATAATCTCACTTTAATAACTTGATCATATCATGAATATTCTTGCATATATACTCATCTTTACATATATGCCTTGTAATTATCATAACTCATTCATTTCTCATCTTCAAATCATGAAATTTAACAGTCATAATCTCAACTCATAATTAGACATGTCATAAAAATGTCATAATTTTAGCATGCATATACATCAAGTTATTAGAATTTAAAGTCATAGTGAACATAAAATTCATCTTGCATGTTCAACTTCAAAAATTCATAACTCAAGCTATACTTTGCCAAATCACTTACTTCTTGTTCTCATGTACTCCTCTTTTACATAAGAATCATTCATTTAAATTATACTTTTCCAGCTTATTCATATCTTTATCAACATCTCATCAAATCAAACACATATATCATATAATTGACCTTGAACAACTTTAACTCTTTGTATTCATAGAATCAATTATAAATTTAACTTCTAAATCATGATATACATACTTATAAACATGTAAACTCGTTATCAAAACAGGAACTTAAGCATAAAACTTTAAGATAAGTAAACTACCTCCTTCTTGCTAGAATCGTAACTTGATTCTTCACTTCTAAATTCTTCACTTCTTCACAATTTCTATTACTTATCTCTCTTACACTCATATATATCTTTTGGTACTTTTCTTTGGTGTGAGAACTCTGATTTTTAGGCCTCTATTTATAGGCACAATTTGGCAAGACATCATAATGGAGTGAAGAAATGAACAAAATAAACAATTTAAACTTATAAACTTAATTAATCATAAACTATTTAATGATTAACTTGTATTCTTATCCAAACATAATTAATAATAAAAAATGGCCTCTATCTATAGCCATAAATGAGATTTTTGTTAGATAAAACTTATTCCACCAAGTTTAATAAAATTCTCACCAATTGTTGAAAAAAAATGCTAACTGAAAGACTTAACAAAACTTTGTTGTGATTTTCTCATCTCATTCTCACCAATTGTGATTTTTTTAGCTACAAGATATTTATTAGAATAAATATAATTAAAAAAAACTGCTTATCAATCACGTGTGAGATAAAGTACAAAGTCTCCAACATTTCTTTTCTCTTTAGATAAGTAAATGGACACACATGCATTCTCCTCAATAGTCGTTGTTGTTTAGTTGGGCTTTGTTGTTGTGGGAAGGGCTTTAGTTTAAATATTTTGTGTGTTTAAATATTTTGTGTTTTGTTTGTTGTGTTTTTGTTGTGGTGTA